ATTCAATAATAAACCGTTCTATACATCATGTGTGTCATACAGAATGAGTTTCAATATTTAATATTGTGAACTGACTCTGTTGGATACCATCTCTATAAATATAACAAGATGAAAAGTGTCAACATTCAATTACACATATGGAGTGTCACCATTGTATCATCTAGACAGATAGCATTTCAAGTTTTAGTGGAATTGACAGTCTAGATATTGAGATGTGTATTCTAAGGTTTAAGAAGTGTCACCTTCACTGATTAGTGACATGACTATAACAATTGAACATATGATTCTTGTATCAATAATTCATTGTTCAATGATTGTGATATGATGGTAAAATTTAATTTTGGAAATATGATTCTTCCCTATTGACAACCTTAGATGTTCCTTTGTTGACTTGAAGTTATTGAGCCATCAACATGAAACTTTCTCAGATTGTTGTCCTCATCAAGGGAAGTGTATTCATGTTTGACACTTGTATGATATTTTGTAAATTGACTGAGATGGTATACAATCTATATGTTGAAATGTGACAATTTGACAGATTGTTATTATTATCATACTGAATTCAGTTCTAACAGTATGTAATTGATACCATATGTATAATAGAGTGATTAAAGGTATATGGTAAAGTTACAGGATGATTGGATGTACTTTCACTGATATGGAGTGTTCACTAGGATATATAAAGTGTTGAGATTGAACATTTACTGATTAATTTTATGAAAGTAGGGGTTGGTTATCGTTTCGTCCTCATTGGATCTTCATTATTACTGAAATACATAATCAATGATATACATCATTAAATAGGTTACAATCTCAGCTATCCAGTGGGCTATAGATTATGTATAGTTTCTTATCTAATTATTGAGATAATCAGCAATTCCTCCCTCAATATATTGCGATTTTACTATTCCTAGGGAAAGGTAAAAGAATGATAAGAAATTGATCAATAAAAAATATATGTCATACTAGAGATGATTTGCTATCGATTGGTGTTTCAACTTTGGATTTCACTAAGTAATTATTGAATTATCACCGATTAAATATTTAGTTATTCTTGTTGGAAATCCTTGCTGGTAATTAAAGAGAGTTGATTCGTTCTGTCTTGGTTGTATGGAGGTGAGAGTTGGAGGTGAGAGTGCGGACGCACTCTAATTGTCGGTTGGAAAAGTAACATACAAAAAAAATGTTGTGATGTTTCCTCTCTCTTCCTCATTCAATCATCTCATCATATCATCATCATATCATCATCATATCATCATATCATCAGGAGTTGTTTCATAATAATTTTAAAAATATATATTGATTGGAATTATTTGGAAGATGATGTTTCGGAATTGGAATAATATTTATTTGGAAGTTATTATAATGGTGGAGGTGTGGTGCCTTTGGCACTCACTTCCACCAAGTTGCAAAATTAATTGGAAATTAGGATAGCTTTAATAATGTAATTGGATTGGATTGGTAGATGTATCATCTCTGA